TTGGGGTGGTGATCCGGATCTGGCACTAATCTGGTCGGTTTGGTTGTGGTTGCAGACTGGGAAGGAATCCTTCTGCGTCTCCCTATCGGCGATCTTGCATGCTCCAGCAGTCCAACATCCTAGGACAGCTAGGACGGTGTGGTGGTTGGGCATGAGGCTTTAGATCTGATCATGGCGACTCCTTGGTTGCAACTTATGGACAATGACTTGAGGCAAAGGGATGGTTGACCAGCAGCGACAATCGTGCATTGCATGTAGCTGCTGAGATCGTGGAAAAATGATGGCGACAACACATGCGTGACTTCGATGATGGTGCTACATGAGCACCCGTCTTGAGCTTCGAGGTGAAAACCTAGGTTTGATTACAATTGGTTATATACCTGGAAAATGGCGATTTTCAAATTGTTACCTTGTAGAAGGCATTGCCCGGACTGATTCTTCAAGGTGAAAGCTTAGAATCTGACCTTGGTTGGTTGGATCCGGTGACGGGGACGCTTGAGCATCGCTCCCTTTCTGAAGGCGTTGCCGTTGAAGAATCCCGTCGCCCATGTGGTGTCATGAGATGTTGGTGCAAATATGGTCATTGATGTAGTTTGTTGATTGTGGAACCGATTGCTTTTTTTCTTTTTCTTTTTCTCGCATATGCTAGCTTTTGTCTTATATGACTTTGCTATTTGTCGGCGTGTGTGTTCATGTTGGCTGTGTGCATCCTAGCTATGCATAGGCCGGGTGTATGCTCATTTTGCTTGTATCCTCTTAATGCTCCATTTTGAGCCAATAAAATTCACCCTTTGTCAAAAAATATTGTATAATAGTTATCATGGTAGTATAAATACTACAGGTTTCTCCATATTTAACCCATTCCAAATCCCATTGATGTTGAGTATTAAGAAGTGGATACATTCTTTAATTCCCCAATATTAGACAGGATAATATGAGATATTGAAGTATACCAAAACATAGAAGGCTTGGGGTTGCAGTAGGACATGCATGTCTTCATTGTTCTTTATGAAGCTATGGCTAGTATACCTCATGCATCTCTCCTTTTCAAGTACATCATAAGCCTTATGGCAGCTTTCCATCAAAACCACAACGATAGCATCCACTACTATGCGTCCGTGGCTCTTGGCTTGATGACCTTCTCTGCACGGGCGTAAGGTCGGCTAATGGCGCCTTTCGGGCACCACAATGCAGCAGGCTGTAACAGGGCGCCAATTTCTTGCTCGCGTGCACCTAGTCCCTAGTGTTGGAGTATAATGTCCGGCCTTCTCCCTCAGATCGGTCTTTTGGTTGCATTGGCTACAGCATGCACTTCTACATGGTATCTGAGCTAAGAGGTATTGAGTTCAAGACCTAGCTGACGCAATTAAATTGTAGCCCACTTTTGGTGCACGTTTAGCCACACGTGAGGGCGAGTGTTGACATATAATGTGCTGCCTAGTCTCTTCCATCAGATCGGTCTAATGGATGAACTGGTAGGTGCATAAACTTACAACCAAGAGGTTCAGGATTCGAAGTTGCTCCACAGGAGAATAAAAAATTGCCAATACTTATGTTGTAGCAGTCACATCTCCCCGACTCCGTTCGGGTCAAATATTTCAATCCAGTAACCATTGAGATCCTTGACAAGGCTGAATCCTTTCATTGTCCCTGCTGCAGAGAGTTACAGTTTATTACATCGCTGCCCTAAGTATTCGCAAACCATCCCCAGTATTCGGTGCAAGTTCAATGCCTTCAGGCTTCAGATACACTCCCTTCGTCCCAAAATGTAAGACCATTTTTTGACACTATGATAATGTAAAAGATAATCTTATAATTTGGGAAGGAGGGAGTACGATTCAAACTATAGGTAAATTTCACGCACGCACAAAATTAAGGCTCAACTTGTGATGGCTGAATTGTTGTGTTAAATTTGTTTTATAATCTGCTACAAAAAATCAGAAAGTCACTTTGGAACACAGTGAGCACTTTATTTTGAACAGTTCGAAAATCACAAATTGAAGTCTCAAGGAAATGCTACTAAAAGATATCCCACATGTAATATGGATGTGCACTACACCTGTGTTTGGAATAAGCAAAAAAAAAAGTGAGCTACACAAATAAGGCAACTGCATGGATTTTTTTACCGGTGAACCGTTTTGGACGTAATTTGTAGTACCACTTAAACCAGATTATGGACTAAATTGTGCGATTCATGGAACAAATGGGGCATTTTGCCCCCGGAGATTCCCCACTCAGCCATCCACCGCCTGCTCCGCCCGCCGTAAGTCTCTGGCCTCCGAGCGCACGGCTGCCAGGAACCCGTAGCTCAGCAGGGAATCAATAAGTCCTTCTCAACTTTTGTTTTTTTTCCTACAAATTCTCGAAACAAGGTTTCGCCCCGCTTTATATATAAACCAACAACCAAGTAGAGTACACGGCCGAACGATACAAGAGATGAGATGGCCCTCAAACATGCCGATCCCAAGATAACCGGAACATGTAGCACGCACGCGACTACCCTACCAAAATAAAATACAGGAGGACTGAGTACAACACCACGCTAAACCCTATAGCACCTAAGCTCCACGGCAACGCCCCCAGAGAGGAGAACGGCGCTGTGCGTCGCCGTTTCTATTTTTTCCACTCGCTACATTCTAAATCTCGCTGTCCTCCCCTTTTTTCTACCACGTATGCTTGCAACGAAAGATCCACCATATAGTCAGGAAGGAACGACATAGCTGAATACTTCAGCTGGAGCATATCACATTATTTCAGTGGCCATGTGTTCGGACTTCAGACTGTATTGGGGGAGAGAGCCTAGCTCAACTGGTTGGGGAGTGGATGTACAAACCCAACACCTGGGTTCAAATCTCTCACAGAGACGAATTTAGGTTCCTATTTATTCTTGAGGACCAGGCTTTCCTGATACTCACGCATTTATCATTGAGGACTAGGCTCAGTGTGTAACTGAGATTGAAAATCCTAGTACTCATAGTGGCCGGGGAAGTGAAATTCTCCCCCATTTTTGCCCTTTCTGATGAAAAAAATGTGTTCGAACTGTATTAACTAGCCCAACTAGTTGCAGAATTTAAGTAATTTGATGTGGATCACTCTAACCGAGAATAAACAAGCGAGGACGGCTAACACGCGCGCGCGTCGTTGCGCTCGGTTTGGGACAAGGGTGGCTTCCTCGATTAAGTATGTTGCAACGAGTTAGGTTTCCCCTTTTAACTAATCACACAGAGAGAGGGGGGGACTCGCCGGGCCCCACCCCCCGTTGAAATCAGAGGGGGCGAGAGATTAGGGGAGGGGCTGGGCCCATGTACTTGCATGTGTGCCTAAATTCACGGGAGAGAGAGAGAACTTGGTGGACCAGGATGCTTGCATGCAACTGAAATAGAAAACTTGGTGGGTCCAGTTGCTTCACGGGATGCCTACCCACGGATCCGGCTTGCCTGCTCCCTTCCCATGCTCCCATCCGTGCTCCCACTTCATCCTACGGCTGTCATTTTCTCTTTTTCTTTTCTAATCTAATCATCTCCCCCTGATTTTTCAGGGGATGGGGCCGGGCATTATTTTCTTCCAATCAAATCAAGCCATGTACGCGGGAGCACGGGGAGGGAGCAGGCAAGTCTCGTCCCCCTACCCACGCTCGCATGCGGTGGGACCCACTAATGATTACCCTATCGCCCAAAAAAGGAAGCCAAGGCAGATATCCCGTTGTGTGTTCGTGCGTCGCAATGCGCGCAGGCGAAGGAGTAAATCCAGGAATGAAGAGGACGACTTTTTCTCGTTGGCGGGAGAAGGCGACTTTGTACAGATCCATAGAACCAACCACGCTAAGAGAATCCCATGTCGACTTGGGCAGCCATCATACACTTAGAACCCAAGTTCTGAGCAGAAAGTGGTAGAGAGAGCAATGGTCTGATGGCGTCCACGAGCAGCTGTGATGAGACTACTAGCTTGGTCATGACCAATGTCGTGGCACTGTCGGTGGACGCCAAACTGTCGGTGGCCACAGGCTGCAGTAACTGTCAGCACTTGAAGGGTGCGGACTGGCTATGTGCTAGTCGACCAGTCGATGTTCTCCGCCCTTGATCTCGAATTTAACGGCTAACAGTCATCTTCCAACTCCAATCGTTTCTGAAAACATATTGCAGCGCATCTTTCTCCCCACGCTTTTTTCCAACCGCCCCCACTGACCACCTTCCGGACCGCCAGCCACCACCGTCCGTGGCCGGTGGCTCTCCTGCGCCAGCCTCGCCCTCCCCAGAACCACCCCCACCGCCGGTCTCCCACCGCCCCGGCCATCCCTCTAGGCCCCGCCGCACCGAGTTTTTTCTCCAGTGAATCCCCACACCACTGCCCCCAACCACCTCCGTCCACCACCGCCCCACCCTGAACCCTAAGATTGACACCGGGGTAGCCTGACCAACGAGCTTCTTCCTCTCCTCCGGCGAGTTTCTTCCTCCCCTCTGGCTATTTCTCCCTTTGACCAAAATCGACTGACCCAACCGCAAAAACTCAGTCGACCGAAATGCAGCTATTGCGGAAGGGTCTGTCGAGCAAGGAGGTTCAGGGACTTCTACGGCAAAGCCTCTCCTGGCGGTCATGAACCCCCTGCTGCTATCAGCGGCTTGCTCTGGCTCTTGGCAAGACTTGGAGTTTCTTCTCAACAGGCAAAATGGTCAGCCACATCTTTCTATAAATTCTAGTAAAGAAAATCTTGACATGTTCACGGCATATAGCTCCAGCAGCTGCAGCAACAAAGGCGCATCGATGCAGAAACCTTCTAATGATGTTAAAGCACTTCTGAACCTGTCTTTAGTTTCTGTTGTGTCGCTCTTGGACGGGGTAACCATTGAAGGGGGCACTGCACTCCATGTGCGGTGGCAGCATATGGTGAGAGTGATGGCTTCCTGAGGAGCACCGACATCATCCACAGTAAGGCAAAACACCTTCTGTTTGTGCAAAACAAGAACGGTGACACGCCCCTGCACTGCGCTGCACGGGCAGGGATGTCCCAAATGGTCCGTCATCTCATCACTCTGGCCAGAGGAGAGAATACAGGTGTTAACAGAACAAAGGAACACCTGGAAATTGAAAACAAGCTTAAGGAGACAGCATTGCATCAAGCAATCTGCATTGGAAATAATGATACGGTCAAGCTGCTAATACAGGAGGACTCAGAGTTGGCCAGTTTCCCGAAAGACGGCACTTCACCTCTGTACCTGGCCATCTTGCTGGAAGAGGACATCATTGCTGAGACACTTTATAATGCAAGTCACAAGAAGATTTCCTATTCCGGGCATCATAGTATATATGAACGTCTTTTTGCATGACAAAGTTAGTTAGGTTCACCTGAGTCATATGACTACTCTATATAGGTATGAGTTATCCTGGTGGTATAAATACCAAGGCTCTGTTCGGGAATCCTCCGCTCCTTCGCCGGGGAGCGGAGCTAGCGGAGCACCCCTTCGGTAGCTCGCCAAAATTGAACTGTACGCCGCTCCACTCCGCGGCAAAGTTACAGAGTGGAGTGATTCCGAACGCCCTCCAAGTGTTTCTTGATGTTTAGCCCACTCTAAATCCCATTAACACTGAGTACTAAGAAGAGGATATAATAGAGAGAGGATGAGATATTGGAGTATACCAAAGTATAGAAGGGTTGGGGTTCCCGTTTGCCATGCATTTTTATATTATAAGCCTTGTGGAAGCTTTCCACGAAAGCTGCAGGGTCGCCATGCACTCATCTTCATCAGTGGCCATTCCCGCCGTCTTCTCACGACGGCTAATGTACCGCATGGTGGAAGGAGGCAACATGGCTTTCCACGTCCCCGGAGTGCACTTCTGCTCAAATACCTTCATGGACTCAACATTCAGTGCGCTGGGTTTAGGCACCTATGGGTCACCAGCCGTTCCACGCAACAGCCCGATCGGCCATGTCACTCATGTTCAAGGGGCAGGGCTCGCGAAACATCCTACCGTCTACGGCATCACCAGTCTTGTATCAGCAGTGGCGCCATGTCTTGTAGGCTATTAATCTCCGGGCTCAACACAGGTGCGAGAGTTGGCCTCGAGCAAACGCTTTCACTACTGAACACCGTGGGAGGAGGGGATCTCGGAGGGGCTTCAAATGAGATCAAGTGTTCAGATGCATGTACGTGGGTTACATACACATCATTGTACAGATGGGATGTAACATGGCTTTCCATGTCCCCGAGGTGCACTTACCTTCCTGGACTCATGTTGAATGGGTGTGGCTTGTGAGCGCAACTCCAACGCATCCACACAGATGACGAACGAACGCCCACGCACGGCGAGGTGAGGGGGTAGAGGGAGGTGGAAAGGAAGCGGCGGCGGAGGGGTCCTCCCTGTGTCGCCAGAGAGAGACGATGCTGTTATGAATAAGAAACTTTATTGTGTTGGTATTTGATTATCTGTCTCATGAATTAGAGTTTGCTACCATTAGGTAGCTGTGTGTGATATACGCTGTTTCTTAAGAAACTTTTTTGTTCCCGTGGGACACGAGCAACTGTGATTTAATCTCATTGAAAAAACAGTGATGTGATGCCTGTCCTACGGTGCCTCGTATAACCTAAGGAGGCGAAGTGCCATGATTTTGGTGAAACACAAGCATAGGTGCATATGTAGGGACTGTGCGGTACTGTTGGTATAGTCCCGTATGCCGAGTACTTTCCGTCGTATTTTGTACAACGCGATTCCGATGACATGTGCTTTTGGCCGTCGATCACACGTACGCATAAGCTGGCTTCAGTACAATATCTAAGCTCCCTCGATTGTAAGCGTTGTGAGCGCTTCGGGGCTGGGAAGGATCAAGTGGCCACGTTCTCTTATTTTTATAGGAGAATCACTTAATTTTTCTTAGAAAAATTATGATCTCTTACTATGTGAGTAGGTATTACAATATTTATATTAACACGGTACAATCGAAGTTTTTCACATATACGAGTATATACTCATCCGGATGTACGCACGCACACCATATCCTTATGAGCACCTCCAAGAGACTGAGACGACACGTCATCATCATATCCCTATGAGCACCTCCAAGAGACTGAGACGGCACGTCATCTTGAGACCGACGAAGTCGTCACAGATGCATTCTTAGTTTACGGGGATGTCTCCTCCGATAGATTGAGTCGGCACATCGCCAAAACGTCTGGAATAAATCCAGGAAAATGCGAGCACCAATGTCAAGTCTTGGACTTGAACTCTGGTGTGCAGGGGATACCAATGTCCTCCTAACCATATGACTAGGTATTCTTTACTGTTTGGGTCAACCAACCAACTATGTGTGCCCAACACTTGATGGGTTATGTGTCACTTACTCTTTGAACTAAAATCACGATATTTATTTTAGATCAGAGGGACTACTTTTTGCGAAAAAAGGGTTGCATGCCGTTCATGTACAACTGGTACAAAGGAAATTAATGATTCGGCCAACTATATTCACGCTTATCAAAGTGATGTACCATCGCACACCCTCACGGTCACCGCCAGCTTGGCCCATCACCGCCTCCTCTGTGTCACATGGTTGCATGGGCGCCATCAGTCCATCACCATGCCACATGCTCCGCCCATCTCTCTGTCTTTCTCCCATTCTCTCATGGCGGTATGCCCGAGCCATCATTGCCTCCTCCGCACCGCACGGTTGCAGCACCCGGGCCATTACCTGCTCCGCGTCACACGGTTACACGGGCGCCAATCCATCAACGCCTCCTCCACACCACAAGGTTACACGGGCGCCCGGCCCACACCGCCTCCTCCGCACCACAAGGTTGCACGGGCTTTGCCTGTCCACCACCACGCCGCACACCCCGCCCATCTCTCCATCTTTCTCCCCTTCTTTTGTGTGGTAATTAACGTCCACCGACGACGACGCTTGGGGCCTAGAGGAGTAGGCGACAAGGTAGGTTGCCACGGCTAGCAATGGCGCTGCACAGGGACGGCTGTCGTCTTCGGAACTTGGTCGCCTTCATAAACACGCCATGGTCACAAGGTCTGTAGTACAACTCCTTATACCTCCTTCCTCTCCCTCTGCCATACTTTCTTTGGCACCCTGATTCAAATTCAATCTCGCTCGCTTCGGGGCTAAACAAGTACTCCCTCCGTTCCAAAATAGATGACCCAACTTTGTACTAAAGTTAGTATAAAGCAGAGTCATCTATTTTGGAACGGAGGGAATAGTACATTATACCGGGATTTTATCTCACCGTCTAAGGTTTCAATATGAAAGGCTCATGCTTCATTGCTTGAGTACTATGTTTGTGCTTGTGGATTAGCAACCTCAGGCAGTTTATACATGGCATGTTTTATGCTGCCTCTGTTCCACAATGCAATGCATATTAGTTTTTTCAAAAGTCAAAGATGCCATGTTTGTCGAAGTGTCTAGAATAAACTAGCATTATCCTAAGTACTAAAAAAATAAACTATAAAAGTGCATGTGGATGTTAATTTTTTAAACTTGGTCAAACATTGACACACTTGACTTTTCAAAATAAAGCATGTGCTACATTTTAGAACAGAGGGAGTATTAATTAGCATATGGTTCCACGCGTAAGGAGCACGGTCCCTAACTGAACTTAATTGACATTAAAACAATAAGACAAGATGATAACTAGGTTTTTCTATGAAGATAATTTGCTTAATTGTCACCGGGTTGCTTATGTACATAGCTGACCAGACCTTATTAATGTGACCTTATTAATGTATCAGTAGTGTTACATTCAAATGAAAACTGGGATCAATTACTTGTACTGTTATTTATCTATCCCCCAATTTCCGCCTCTTCCTCTTAGAGGTCGCTATAAACATGCTTAATTTCCTTTCCTGTTGTTAGTCAGTGCAAAGCATGACTTTTATTTCCCCGCAGAAAAAAGCATTGCTTTTATTTTAACTGTGTTCTTTCTATTTTGATTCTAACTATGCATCTGAATGATCGATATTGAAAACTAGAAGCCATATACTTTGGTGCAGTGCTGCAACTTCCAGGTATTTCACACTTCCACTGCCTTTTACCATGATTGCGGACCATTATTCTTGGTGTTTTTATTATTTGTATGTGACCAAGATAAATTATGAAATATTTGTTGGTCAAATCATAGAGTTGTATGATTGTTGTAGAAGAACACTACAATCGGAAACCTGAGTTACGCATGTCATAGTTTTGAATTAGTTTTGTAGATGAATATTATCTTATTCATCCAGTACTATGATTTAACGCTGCAGGTCAAGAACAATAGTTGTAAAAGGATGAGTAATATCCTACCAACTAAATGATGATGTGTCTTAGCATTCGAACATATCCTGCAATGCAATAAAGGGGGTTCTCAAGCCAAACACACAGAAGGCCCTTGAAATGAACATCAACCTCCTCCCCTCAAATAGAGCTGCAAGGAATCTGTCCGTGAATTAACAATCAAACAAATAAACGGTAGAAAAGTAAAACGGCGCAGCAAGGCGCGCGTATGCTTCTAGTGATGATTGGTACTTCCTGGAGGTTCACGTACAATGCTAGCTAGCAGGCTAGCTCATGGCACTTGTAGAAAATGGGCCTTTAATCCCAGTTTCAGATGGCTTACGAACCGGGACTAAAGGAGCTCCACGTGGCCGCTGTCTAGAGCTCCACCTTTAGTCCCAGTTGGCACCAACCAGGACTAAAGGAATTTTTTTGAAATTTGGTTTTTCTGATTTTTTTTTGCATTTTTTTTATAATTTTCAAATTTCTAAAATATTTGACAATTTAATCTCTAATCACCTCTCATCACTGCTCAAGTATGGACCACTCATTCCAAATCGTCTAACTTCCCGGCCGGTGACCCATCCTATCACTACTCCAGCCTGAGCACGCTTAACTTCCTAGTTCTATTCCCCCTCGTTTCCAAGTCTGCACTTATTGTTTTCCTGATAATAGTAAGCTCTCAATCCTATTAACCCTTAGGAGTTGAACTTGAGCATGAAGTCACACGTTTCACCGTTTAAGTTTGAAACTATTATTCTTAAAACCAATAATTATTTAGTAACACAAATATTTCTTGAATAAGTAGTTTAACCGACCAAAAATTCGAAAAAAACATAAATTTGAGGATAACTTTTTTCCTTTCAGAATTTGAGGATTCAAAAAATTTGCAAAACAGCCTACGGCGGTCGAAATCGGAACCGGGTTTTCGTGCTGAACATTTTGATATATTATACTTTTTTCGACATCGTATGCAAAAGTTATAGCAGTTTTACCTTTTCACAACACTTTTTTCCAAAACATGTCCAAATTTCAGTTTTTTAATTTTCCTAACTAGTAGATGTAGTAACATAACTGCAT